TATATATATATATATATATATATGTATGTGTGTTTTTTGTTCCCTATTAGCCTCTCCTATGGATGTAGATAAGAACATTAAATATGCTGTCCGTGTTCATCCAATACCAAGACCCAGTACTACTCCTACTCCATGTAAGCTTTATGGTACATTTCAATGTTCTTTACAGGCTGGTATGTTTATTGATGGTTAACACGTATTCATTCTCATGTCACAGCACCTGAAAGGGAGTACATGAGACAGAGGCCACATGGCAGAATTAGACGGGATAGTATTCAGGTAAGCAGCATTTATTTATCATGTGCTTATGACCAACAGAAGATACAAAGTTTGGAAGAAGCATTATGTATTAACATCATGTCTCTTTTTTCCTCTACGTGATTCAGAGCTATAAAATGGATGCCAGCCCATGTGGACATTGCCTCATCATAAACAACGTAGAGTTTGAACCCGAGAGCGAGCTGAGCAATCGTAAAGGCTCCAACATAGACTGTGACAAACTGGAGAGTAGATTCAAGGCACTCAACTTTATTGTGGAAGTTAGGACGAACCTGAAACAAAGAGTAAGGAGATCTCTTCTTTTTCTGTGTATTAAAACTCATGTGAAAATGCATAACTATATAGCTAACTGTTATCACTGCATTTCAGCAAATCAAACATGAACTTTCATCTTTATGTAAGAAGGACCACTCACAATATGACTGCTGTGTGGTTATCATGCTGTCCCATGGGACTGAGGTAAGCCATGTCCTCATGTTCTTTTGTAAAATCAGAAAACACTTTTCTCTCTGGCCTGCTCAAGTTCAAATCCAAACGCCTTATAATGTACGCTCATATATTTTGTTATAGGTGAGTCACAACCGATTCCCTGGTGCTGTGTATGGTGTGGACGGACAGCATGTTCCAGTTCAGCACATCACAAACTACCTCAATGGCAAGCATTGCCCGTCTTTACAGGGCAAACCCAAACTGTTCTTCATCCAGGCCTGCGGAGGAGGTAGCTAACGCAGAACATACAGTTAATATAACTCAGTAACAAAGCATGTGTACATTTTCTTTATACTTTTGTTGAACATCTTTAAATTACAAACTATTATCACTGTTTAACACCAATTCCAAGAAAAAATAATAATCAAAACATAACTTGATATTAAATAGAAGGGGGTTTATTAAATATGTAACGTAAGTACAAAAATGAATTGGGTTTAGGTAGAAACACATTTTGTTTAAAATGTTCTTTGGAAGAAATTACATGCAAAAAATATGTACCGGTACCTTTATTGAAATGGCATAGTCATGTTAAACCTAAAAGAAAATCTGGTATGTTGGAGAATCACATGATTTCAGGTAAAACATGACTGTACCATCTTTTTTTTTAAATTGTTCTGCTTCCTGCATATTACTGAAGTAATTCAGAGAGTCTTAAGGCACTCTTTTGTTAACGATTAAAAGAAGATTTTCAATGGCAGAAAACTGAGCAAGATTTATATAATACAATTTGTTAAAACAAATATTCTGAACTCAGTTTTGCATAAAAACACCAAACTAAACTATGTTATTAGACCGGTATAACACCCTTTAGTGCTCTTGCACCCTGTCCCAAAAACAAAATAACAAATGTTTCTAAAATATGTAATTATATTTTTTGACAAAATACACACAGATAACCATCCCAAATGAACGCTTAAGAGTTCCCTGCCTGGATAAATATCTGTAATGAATCCATAAGTTGAACTTGTTGTTGCTCTTGTCCCGCAGGTGAAAGAGACACAGGCTTTGAGGTGTCCCCTGACGAGGTTGAACCCTCCCACGGTGGAGCGGATGATCAGACGGACGCCATCCCAATGTCATCCAGCAGCGACTCCCTGAGCATGTCTGATGAACCAGATGCCAGAGTAACGTTGCCCACCCCCAGTGACATCCTGGTGTCCTACTCTACCTTTCCAGGTGTGTGTGTGTGTGTGTGTGTGTGTGTGTGTGTGTGTGTGTGTGTGTGTGTGTGTGTGTGTGTGTGTGTGTGTGTGTGTGTGTGTGTGTGTGTGTGTGTGTGTGTGTGTGTGTGTAGTGTGTAGTGGTGTGTGTGTGTGTGTGTGTGTGTGTGTGTGTGTGTGTGTGTGTGTGTGTGTGTGTGTAGTATGTAGT